TAAATTCATCCACCTATGAGCAGCTGATATTTGACAAAGGTCCAAAGTCTGTTAATTGGGGAAAAGACAGTCTCTTTAACAAATGGTGCTGGCATTAACTGGATATCCATCAGCAAAAAAATGAAGCAAGACCCATACCTCACACCATGCACAAAAACTAACTCAAAATTGATCAAAGAACTAAATATAAAATCGAAAATGATAAAGATCATGTAAGAAAAAATAGAGACAATGCTAGGAGCCCTAATACATTGCATAAATAGAATACAAACCATAAGTAACAATGTACACACACCAGAAGAGAAACTAGGTAACTGGGAGCTCTGAAAAATCAAACACTTGTGCTCATCAAAAGACTACACCATAAGAGTCAAAAGACAACCTAAAGACTGGGAAAAAATTTTTGGTTATGACAAATCCAATCAGCGTCTAATCTCTAAAATCTACAAGACACTGCAAAACCTCAACAACAAAAACACAAATAACCCAATTAAAAAATGGGCAAAGGATATGAACGAGCACTTTGTCAAAGAAGATATTCAGGTGGCTAACAGACACATGCAGAAATGCTCACGATCATTAGCCATTAGAGAAATCAGATTAAAACTACAATGAGATATTACTCACCCCAACAAGGCCGGCATTAATCAAACAAACACAAAATAATAAATGTTGGAGAGAATGTGGAGAGACTGGAACAATTATACACTGTTGGTGTGAATGTTAAATGGTACAACCACTTTGGAAATCGATTTGGCATTTCCTTAAAAAGCTAGAAACAGAAGTACCATATGATCCAGCTATCCCGCTCCTTATCCTAGAGAAATAAGAGCCATCACACAAATAGATACAGGCACACTCATGTTCATTGCAGCACTTCACAATAGCAAAAAGATGGAAACAACCTAGGTGCCCATCAACAAATGAATGGATAAACAAATAATGGTTTATCCACACGATGGAATATCATGCAACAATAAAGAACAACGATGAAGCCGTGGAACATAACATGGAGGAAGCTGGAGGTCATTATGCTTAGTGAATTTAGTCAAGTCAAAGGACAAATATTGTATAAGACCACTATTGTAAGAACTCAAGGAAAGGTTTAAACACAGAAGAAAACATTGTTTGATGGTTACGAGGGTGGAGAGGGAGAGTAACGGTTATTTATTAACTAGATAGTAGATAAGAATTATCTTAGGTGAAGGGAAGTACAGTACACACTATAGGAAAAGTCAGCACAACTGGACTAAGCCAAAGCTAAGAAGTTTCCTGAATACAATCAAACACTTTGAGGGACAGAGTAACAGTCGTAGGGGTCTGGGGACCATGGTTTCAGGGGACATCTAGGTCAACAGGCATAATGAAGTTCATTAAGAAAATGTTCGACATCCCACTTTGGTGAGTGGCATCTGGGGTCTCAAAAGCTAGCGAGCAGCCATCTAAGATGCATCAATTGGTTCCAACCACCTGGAGTAAAGCAGAATGAAGAACACCAAAGACACAAGGGAAGTATTAGCCCAAGAGACAGAAAGGGCCACATAAACCAGAGACTTCATCAGCCTGAGACCAGAAGAGCTAGATGGTGCCTGGCTACCACCAATGACCTCCCTGACAGGGAACACGACAGAGTCCCTGATGGAACAGGAGAAAGGTGCGGTGCAGAACTCAAATTCCAGTAAGACGACCAGACTTAATGGTCTGACTGAGACTGGGGGAACCCCGGAGAGCATAATCCCTGGATTCTCCATCAGCCCAGAACTAAAACGATTTCCGAGACCAACTCTTCAGACAGGGACTGGACTGGACTGTGGGACATAAAGTGATACTCATCAGGAGTGTGCCTCTTAGCTCAAGTAGATACAAGAGACTAAACAGGCAGCTTTTGTCTGGAGGTGAGATGGGAAGGCAGAGAGGGTTAGGAGCTGGTTGAATGGACATGGGGAATCAGAGGTAGAAAGGAGGAGTGTGCTGTCACAGTATAGGGAGAGCAGTTAGAGTCACATAACAATGTATGTATAAATTTTTGTATGGGAAAGAATAAAAAAAATTTCTGTTCACTAAAAAAGAAAAAAAATACATTTTTGATTGAATGAATGAATGCGGTATGTATAGGAGACAAGATATTTTAAATAAATGTTCCTATCTCTATAGTATGAAGAAAGCAGAGTGAGGATTCTTGGCAACAGCCAATGCTCTATCTGTTGTTGTCAGGTGCTGTCAAGTCGGTTCTGACTCATAGCGACCCTACGTACAACAGAACGAAACACTGCCTGGTCCTGCCCTATCCTGTTTGAGCCCATTGTTGCAGCCACCGTGTCAATACATCTTGTTGAGGGTCTTCCTCTTTTTTGTTGATCCACTACTTTGCCAAGCATGATGTCCTTCTCCAGGGACTGATCCCTGCTGATAACATGTCCAAAGTACATGTGAGAAAGTCTCATCATCTTCACTTCTAAGGAGCATTCTGGATGTACTTCTTCCAAGACAGATTTGTTCTTTTGGTAGTCTATGGTATATTCAATATTCTTCACCAGCATCACAACTGAAAAACATTAACTCTTCTTGGGTCTTCCGTATTCACTGTCCAGCTTCACAGCAACATGTAAGCCCCCACAATATGACAACTGACAGACACGTAGGGCTCCCTATTTGGTGCTAGACAAGTTAAAATGTGTATGTAATCCTCTAATAATCTTTCTGCTATTATCATTTCCTTGATAAAGAAGAAATGAACATCAAAATGACTGACAAGATCTCAAAGAACCCAATGCTTAATTTCAGGAATGTTGGCTCATAATAAGCTCTAACAGGATAGCCAAAACTCCTGTGTTCTTACATGAAAACTTTCTGCTCTAAAACAATACTGTTGTAGTGTTTATTTTCAAATATATCCAGTTCAGTGTGGTGGTAGTAAGGGTAAAATAAGTTAAACAAAGCCTGAAACCTAGAATCAGATTTCAAATTTACAGTGACCAATATTTATCATTACAGACTAAGTGCTTACCTGGGGTAATATGGAAATGAGAGCTGGAAGGTGCCACTGAATCCTTTACCAGAGATCTGTTCCATCCATCCATTCTTTTCGCATTTCTGCAGGGTTTTCTTTAGCAGATGCACTGAACAAAAAATTCAGAAAAGGGAAAAAATTATCTAGTTATTCTGACTCATAATTCTTTGAACCACAATCAGATGCCCATGAATTAAACATTCAATGTCCTGTCATATATAGTAATTGACATATGCTAAATAAGTCCTTTGTGGCCAAACATATTAACTTCTTCACTAAACATTTTTAAGTGCCCATAAATTTGGCAAGATTAGACTATAATATGAGACTTTAGAGACCACTGAGTCAAATTCTCTCATTTCACAGAAGAGGAAATGGTAGTCCAGGGTGATTAAGTGAGTTGCCCTGAGGTTGCACATGAATTCATATCATTATTTACATTCATTCAAGTATCTACTGAGTGCCTGATAATCATTTAGGAGAATATATAAAAAGATGAATGAACCAACTCCGTGTAAATCAGCAAAGAGTTACAAAACAGTATCATGGCTCCTGAAGACCTCACCAATTCTCATTTTTCATACAAAGATACATCAGAAATATATTTTACGGTGATTGAGTGTCCAAAAAATAAGTTGCCAAATCAGTGAAAGTGTAAAGGTTAATAACCAAATTTGGCTTCTTTTAAAAACTTGGCCAACAGAGAAAAATCATAAAGTAGTTTATGAGGGTAAATATGCACAATTAAACACAGTATGTATCTTAAGTACAATAAGAAATGAAGAAAAACTGTAATCTATGCAAGTTTTCTAAGTAGATAAGAAAACAACCAGAAAGCATTCCTTCATGTTAAAAACATACACTGCGTGTATGTCAGAAGTCAGTATCAATGCTTCAAAATAACCTTTTTATTTAAAACAATATATTCTGATTTGCGTTGTTGGTTACTTAATCTCCATATTCCTCACCCTCTACCACTGTACTACTCTAGTAGCTCACTGAGAAGTTACACAATCTCACCATTCTATATGTGATAACGTTGCTAAGACTAAGTGTCTTATCTTAAATCACCTCCTCATAGGGTAAATATACTTTTCTGAATAAAATATTTTATAGGGCTTAAGTCAGTAAGAAATAATCTAAGTAGTAAATACTCTAAAAACACTGGCTTGATTTCAAGGTGAAATTAGATGTTTTGGTATCACAGAAACAAATGTTCAGAAGTATGCAAAAAGATACTAGAGAGGTATTTTGAACCTAGAGATTTATTTAATTACAGTAAAAAGAAACATAAGAAAAATCGTTGCAGCTAAGTAAACTGATCTTCAGCAGACACTGTAAATTAAGGATAAACCTTGATCACCTTTGTTTTCCTCTTTGTAAATGATAAGTTTAATTTGTAAAGCTGTTCCCTCTCAGTTTTCATAGTCAGTAGTTATTGCTTTTGACACTAACAGCATGTTCTGTAGAGTTTTTTCACAAGAAAATCCCCCTTATTGCAGTTTAATGCACACAACCCTGAGTCTTACTTTGATAGTTAGAATTGGTCCCTGGGTGGTTCTCCAGGACATACTTCTTCAGAGCAGTGGTGGAGCAGGTTTTCGGCTCATTCATAGCAGCAATGGCAGACAAGATTGCATATTCCATCAGGCTTCCACCAAGCAGGGGTTTCTCCCCTGATTTCTTCAGCTGTTTTCCAAGGAGGAAGAGAAAAGCATCAAGACAATACTCTCCCAAAGCAGGTCAAGACAAGACTCCTCTGTACCAGGTGGGTCGGAGTTCCTGCATTAGCACAGATATGTTTTACGATAAATTGTCAGGTTAGGGACTTTATCTTCCCATTCACCAGGTATTCAACCTAACTGAGGAGTCCCAACCCTCCTATAGTTATTTTCTTCTTCCATCTACCCCTCTATCCAAACTAAAATAACAATAGCCAACTTAACCCAAAGATATTGACAGATCCACCCTAATAAGCAGGTTAACCTGTTATGCTCTCAGTAAATTAAGATACTTTTATTTGAGAATACTTCCTTTTTCTGAATCTGAAAAGTAAAGTAGCTATAAAAATAATAGTCTTTCTAATTCTGGAAGGATAAAAGCAAATAAAAAGTTTGATCATATTTAAGGTATCATACAATAGAGAATTCTATAGCATATTTACTTCAAAGATGAAAGGCTAGGAAACAAAGGCCAGCACTGATAAGCAAGAAGTGCTAACGGGAGAAAATCAGGTATGTTCTATAACAGTTATTTCTCAAAGTGTGGTCCACAAACCCAAGGGGTCCCCAAGATCTTTTCAGGGAATCTGCAAGGTCAAAACTATTTTCACAATGATGCTAACATGTGATTTGCCTTTTTCACTCTGCTGACATTTGCACTAATGGTGCAAAAGCAATGGTGGATAAAACTGCTACCACCTTAGCACAAAACAAGGTGACGGCACAAAAATGTTCCAGCAGTTGTTATATTCTTCACTGATACACACTTGTGGTTAAAAGAAACAAACAAGCAACAGCCAATTTCACTTAGAAATGTCCTTGATGAAACAGTAAAATGTATTTTATTAAATTTCAATCATTCAATTCATGTCTTTCTAATATTTTATGGGAACGACATGGGAAGAGCACATAAAGCACATCTGCTGCATACAGAAGTATAAAGGTTGCTCAAGGAAAAGCACTTGTGTGACTGCTTAGGTTGTCAGCTGAATGAGCTCCATTCTTCATAGACTATCCTTTTTGCCTGAAAAAATGACTGAGAAACTACGGTCATTCAGACTTAGGTGTCTAGTAGACATTTCCTTGAAAATGAATCAAGTGAGCCTGTTACGTCAAGGAAAACAATAATTTTTATTTGTTGCCAATAATAAAATTCAAGCTTTCAAGAGAAAGCTCGTGAAAAACGTGCATCCACCACCGTGAGCTTGGTAACTTCTCAATACTTAAATATGTTATAAGATCAGTGATTGATATTAATGAATGTGATTTTTGTTATTGTATGATGAAATATGTCAACATTTGGAAGATCTGAATAACTCACTGAGCCACTATTTTCCAAATGACCAATGCATCATGTTACAAAATTAAGCATGGCTAAGAGATCCATTCAAAGTGTAAGACAGGCCAATGGACTTAGTAGCAGAGTACAAAAAACAAACAAACAAAAAAAACACTGATAGCGTTTCAGATTCCACATGGCAACTAACCTTTAAGAAATCATCACAAAATCAATAACGTAATACACCATATTAACAGAATAAAGGACAAAAAACTCACGATTATGTCAGTAGACACAGAAAAAGCATTCGAAAATCCAAAAACTAGTAATAGAAGGGAACTATCTCAACCTGATAATGGGCATCTATGAAAAACCTATAGCTAACATCATACTTAATGGTGAAAGACTCAATGCCTTTCCCTCTAGCATCATGAACAAGGCAAGCCTATCTGCTCTCATTACTTCTATTCAACATTGTACTGGGGGTTCTAGCCAGTGCAATCAAGCAAGAAAAAGAAATAAAAGGCATCTAGATTGGAAAAGAAGAAGTAAAATGATTTTTACTCACAGATGACATGATCCTATATATAGGAAATACTAAGGAATCTACAAAATACTACAATTGAGTTCAGCAAGATCACAGAGTAAAAAGTGCAATATACAATCAATTGTATTTCTCTATACTAACAATGAACAATCTGAAAATGAAAATAAGAAAGCAATTCCATTCATAATAGCACAAAAAAGAAAACTGAGGAATGAATTTAATAAAAGACATATATGCTGAAAACTACAAAAACACTGCTGAGGGAAATTACAGATGTAAATAAATGAAAAGACATGTAGTATGCATGGACCGGAAAACTCAACACTGTTAAGATAGTGATTTCCCCCAAATTGATCTATAGGTTCAATGCAATCCCTATAAAAATCCCAGCTGGCCTTTTCTGTAGAAACTGACAAGCAGTTACTGAAATTTAAAAATCTTAAAAAGAACAAAGAGGACTTCTACACTTCCTGGTTACTACAAAGCTACAGTAATCAAGACAGTGTGGTACTGGCATAAGGATTCACATATAGATCAATGGAACAGAACTGAGAGTCCAGAAATAAACTCTTACATTTATGGTCAATTGATTTTTTTTACAAAGGTACTTACCCAAAGCAATTCAATGGGGGAAAAGAAAAGTCTTTTCAATAAATGGTCCTGATACAACTCGATATCTACACACAGAAGATGAATTTATACCTTTGTATCACACAATAAACAAAACGTAGCTCAAAATGGATCAAAGAACTAAGTGTAAGAGCTAAAACCATAAAACACTTAGAAGAAAACACTTAGAACTAAATCTCTGTAACTTTAAGTTAGGCAAAGATTTCTTGGATATAACACCAACAGCAATTTTAAAAAATGATAAACCAGAGCTCATCAAAGTAAAAAAACTTTTGTACTTCAAAAGATACCAGTAAGCTACAATGACAGATACATTGACCAATGGAACAGAATTGAGAACCCAGATGTAAATCCATCCACCTGTGGTCACCTGATCTTCAACAAGGGCCCAAAATCCATCAGATGGGGAACAGATAGTCTTTTTAACAAATGGTGCTGGCAAAACTGGATGTCCATCTGAAAAAAAATGAAACAGGACCCATACTTCACACCATATACGAACACTAATTCAAAATGGATAAAACACCTAAATATAAAGCCTAAAACTATAAAGTTCATAGAAGAAAAAATAGGATCAATGCTAGAGGTCCTAATACATGGCATTAACAGGATACAAATCATAACCAACAACACACAAACTCCAGAAGATAAGCTAGATAACTGGGATCTTCTAAAAATCAAACACCTATG